GGAGAGAGGGAGGAGGGAGAGGGGAGAGGGGAGAGGGAGAGAGAGAGAGACTGCCTTTACAGTGGAACTTGTACTTAGCCCTAATCAAGTAGCTTCTCAGACCCACCCTTCCTTGCCAAGCACAGCAGGAACAGAGCCTTGGACTTTGCCAGGAAATCCGAGGGGCCTGGGGTGTAGAGTCAGTGTTGGTTAACAACTGAGGAGGAATGCTGGCTTTTCAATGACATGACCCTTCCCCAGTAGAATGCTGAATGGGATGAGACTTGCCTGCACTAAGATTTGGATTTTTAAAACTCGCATCTCTAGAAGCACATCTGATCTGATCGATGCAGTCTGTTGTTGATTTAGAGATTTAGAGATTCATGAGATGGGAAAATTACATTCTCTCTCATGTGCCAGGTAAGACATTCTGTTTAGCTGTCTTCCTCACCATATAAGACGATTGATATCCATTTTATACATAAGAAGGGAGCTCTGGTTAATTACCCTGCCCAAGATCATCTAACCCAGGGCTGTGGCTTGCCTGTCTCTGCTGGCGGCATTGTTTGGCCTCTACAATGAGAAGACCTCCTGCCATCCACGGAAGAAATGTGCTCTCCTTCGCTAGAGGTACTCAAGTAGAAACTGAGAACATCTGTGAATTGTGTTCCAGCCCACATTGCAGGGAGCCTGGAGTGGGAAAGGCAGCCCCCTGCTGAGGGTGTGGTGGACGCAGTCTCTCTTCTTAGAAGGCAATGTGGGCTTTAATGCCAAACGCAGGGCGAACTGAGCCCTAAATCTGCATTAATGTGTTTATATTGTTTCATTGTGAGCTCTGTGTCCCATCTGCTCCCTGCATTCAACTGTTTGGTGTCCCGGACAGAGACTTTGCTTTTGCTTTTGTCAGGAGGACACCTGATACCAACTTCTGCTAATTAGTTGCCTGTTTCTGCATCATGTAAATAATGTCAGCTACAATCACAGCGCCCCTGTCCAGGCAGATTGTGGCTAGAAACTTCAGGAGCTAATTCTTCTTTTCCTTCCCAGAGTCGAGGGCCAAGAGAGCCCTGATTTCTGGGATGCAGACAAGTTTCCTTGTTATCTCCCTCATTCCTTGTGCCCTGTTTTGTTTTTCCAGCAAATGCATCCTCTTCTTGAACACTCACATATTGTGGCTCTTATTCTCCGTGTCTCCTCTACCAGGATACAGATTCCCCAAGGGCAGCGTTTTGTACTTTGGCCACTGTGTCCCAAGTACCTAGAGCATAAGCCTAGCACACAGTGAGAGTTCAGAAAGTGGGAGCACGTGAATGAGTAAATGGGCTGATGGGTGCATCCACGAACCCTCCAGCAGCAAGCTTTCACACGTCCTTCTGCTGAGAACGATGGACAGCCTTGGGGGCTTCAGCCCCACGCAGGGTTTACCATGTCATATTGTCTGTCCAGAGGGACCATATGGGTGAGAAACTGCTTGCTTACTGGGTTTCATCTTTCTCTTCATTTCTGGAACTTAGAGATTTCCTTCCTTCAAAATTCAGCTATTTATCTGAAAAGAAATGTTTATCTTACCCAGTATTTCTATGAACTTTATGGAGAAGTAAGTGGTTCTACCACTTAGGAGCTATTCTTCTTCTCAAAGGCCCAGCTTTTTCACCTGTAAAACATAGGTGATACTAACAAACTCAAAGATGGTTCAGGGACATTTGACTTGTGTACCATACCCAGAACTGCCAAATGCTCAGTACATAATAATGTTATCATTTCTGCAAAAATAACTCCTCTTGATTTCTGAGCATGCATTGTACCAACAGCCTTGTGGAAATAAATGGGCCAAAAGTACACCATGGGCAACTCAGGCCTTCACAGTGTTTGGGAATTGATGGGTACTGTTCTTGGCTGCTCACGTCATAGCATCTGGGGAATTGGTCAGAAGCAGAAGGCTAAGAAGGCTTCCTGATACCCCAGCCCTTTGCCCACCATGACGCATGGAGAATATCGGTAATAGCTGTTAAGTTCCTAAGGTGAGCAGATGAACTGTCTCAAGGCTGGAGCTACCTGCCAATGGAACCCCAGGCTTTGCCCAGAGCTCCCAATTTAGAAGGACCAGTATCTCTGCATACTAGTAGAAAAGTACAAAACATCACTGAGCACAACTAAAGAAAACCTATCTAACCTATCATATAATGGTATATTTATGGATTTAAAAACTGAGCAATCTAAAGGCTCAACTCTCCCCCTATTGATCTGCAGGTCAATGTATTCCCAAAGAAATTCATCTCAAGATTTGCATATTTATTTTTAAATTGTTTTCTAGTGGAACTTGATAAGCTAGTTCAAAAAATGAGAATAAGGAAGGAGCGGCTCTACTGCATATCAAGACAAGAGAATTATGGTAATTGTTACAATATGGTATTGGCGCAAGACAGACAAGCAAACCAATGGAATAGATTAAGACCATAAACGTGAATAGTTAATTTGTGTCAAAGAACAGAAGGGCTGGCTCACGTCACTTAATAAAACGTCTGTGAGATTTACCTACATTGCTATATCTGTAGTTCATCGGCTTTCATTCCATGTATAAATGGGACAGAATATGGGGGGCATCTGCTCAGGAGATAATACACTGCCCTGATTTCTGGGATGCAGACAAGACTCTAGTTCTTTTTTTTTATAAATGATACTAAACATTAATATTACTCATACTGACAAACTGAGTTTTAAATGTATTTTTTTTATTTTATATTAATTTTTTTTTTTCGGAACCGGAGATTGAACTCAGGCCCTTGCGCTTGCCAGGGAGGCGCTTATTCCACTGAGCCATCTCCCCGGCCCCTAAGATTCTAGTTCTTAGGCGGTGATTTCAAGGTCTTTGTAATTAATCACTGAGCTAAATATTTTGCTTTCTCAACATGTATTTGACAAAGAGGTTAAGAATTAAGACAGTCTAGCCAGGTTTGATGGTGTATGCCCATAATCCCAGTACTCTGGGAGGCAGAAGCAAGAGACCACAAATTCTGGCGTGGCCTTCTTGGGCAATTTAGTGACTTAGAGGAACCCTATTCACTTAAAAGACAACTGGGGATATACCTCAGTGCAAAGGCCATGGGTTCAATCCCCTGTACCACAGAGAAAAGAAGAAAGAAGAAAGTAGAGAGAAA